CGCTATGATTCTATTCTCATTCCATCCAGATTAAAAAATTGGCTTCCATTGACTTTTGTCTAAATTATCTAAAACTATTTCCAGCTTTTTCATTATAGTAACTGTCTAATTTGTTTCTTTTTTGCCTCTCAAGAAAATCCACTAAACAGCTAAATTTTATATTTCAGAAACTGCCGAGCCTGCAGCCTGCTCCCACTATTCATATTAAGGCTGTAACAAAAGGCAGAACCCATGACTTGAACATTTACTCCCCGGATCCAACCACTCTTTCTTTCTTTCTTTCTTTCTTTCTTTCTTTCTTTCTTTCTTTCTTTGCCTTAACTAATGAAGAAGTCAAAAATTCTGAAACTTACACTGTATTGAATAACCTTTGCATTGGCATAATAAAGGTACTATGTTAATCGGGATTTTAGCATTTTTCTTTTGGAACATCTCTAATGTTGAAGTGCTAAAATTAAGTCAGGAACAATGCTGGCAAGAGGCATACAGAGAAGTTGTGAAACTGATAAGCAGCACTGACAGCACCTGTTGTTCCGTAAAAAATAAAATAAAATAAAAGTATTAACAAGTGAACTTGGAACAGCTATCAATTTATCAGAAATCTGAGACACCTTCAGCAAAGCTCTTCTTTGGTTTAAGTTTTAAAGCAGTGGGTATGTGTATGGATAGGTTCTTATATCAATATATCCATTCAGAACTGAAACAAGACAATTTTACTTCTATGCATTCATATCCTTTCACCAGCCATGTATGCATTGTCATATACCAGACTAGTCTTGAGAAACTGCTTTGAACAATACTACTGAATAATTCAGTTAATTTCCTTAGTATCTTCTGGATTCAAGTGTGTCTGGAAGTCACCGCTTGCCAAGTATTCCTGATTCACTTGCAGTTACTTCTAAATAAGAGCCATATCCAGGTAATCACTCGGGTATTTTTCTACACAAAATCCAAAAACAAAACAAAAGTGCTGTCGTTCCTTAGCCCATCAGCATCACGCAATCAACTTCACTGAGTTACATAGGGGTTAATAGCTTTTCTGGACTCATTTACAAATGTGGAATTGCAGATAGGCTGGAGTTTAGCTTTGGTGTGGAACTCAGCCCATGTTGAAAGCCTCTCTAAGTCACATGTTCCACGACAGTGCCTTAGCTTAAATTAAATTCTGGTTCTACCCTTTCCTGTGGTCTGGACCATATGCTGCGTAAACAAGAGAAAGAAAGAATAATATTATAATAATAATTGTTAAAGGCAAAACATTAATGCTACCATATATATTTACAATCTGAACAGGCATGCAACATTAAGAGATGAAAGAAAAAGAACAAACATTCCAGTACCTTTCTAGTATATATTACAGCCTGTTAAACCCTTTCCATTTTGAAGCTATCCTACAGCAGCCTTCTGGATTGATTTTTCCAAGACATTTTCATAAGAAAGTAATTAAATGAATCCAAAACTGTGCTTGTTATTCAATAAGATGTCTATGAAAAAGGCATGTAGCTGCATCTCATCCTTTTGCAAAAAGATTTCATTACAAGTGTAATTATTGAACCTTTTGGCCTCAACATAATTTTACATATTACAAGTTGGCTTGCATTGTGAATTTCAGCCAAAGTTGATGGAGTTCAATAACTTGACTAACCATCCATGTATACTCCTCATTACCCAAGTAATAGATTTCTCAAAGTAGGCATGAGAATGCAATGCAAGAAACAGATAACACTTCTAGCACCACCTCCAAACAGACATTATCGGATTTTAAGACACGTGAAAGCTCAGCAACATTTATTTTTTGTTCTAAGCACAATACTAAATGCAGAGTACAAGTTGCGTACAAAATTTCTAAGTACAATGTTTTTTTCCCAACCAAATAGCTGCCACCAGGCACTAAAGAGAGACTGCTGGGGATGGGCAGCTTGTGCAGAATTACAGACAATTTTGCTGCTCCCTTCACATGTTTTATGCGTTCAATTTGCCTGGACACTGCCAAGAGAGCTCTGCGACTGGCTGGTCTAAGGCCACACTGTACATCTCTGTTACTGGGAAGACCAGCTTCTCACACTGCTTAGTAACTTTGTTTTTAAATACCAGCAGAGACTACCAAGATTCGCAGGATTTCACAGCGAGAACTCCAGAGCTACACGTGACTTGCTACTAAGCCACTGGTTCAAATGAAGGGTGTTGTCCTTCAGCCTAAAGTCTTTTATTATAAACATCATTATACACCAAACATCAGCAATGCTAAATATTGTAAAAAGCCATTCAACGTCATAGGTGCTTTAATCAATGTTTTGCTATCTCTGTACCCTTTAGAAGCTGCTTGTGTGTCCTGAAGAAGAAAAACAGTCTGGCATCTGTTCCATGGGAAATTTCAAGACATAACTCTTTCACAGTTGTATTCCTCAGTGCCTCTGCCTACTACAGCAACTTTAAGTAGCAGGATTCTAATGAAACTCGGCACTTTCACACCAATGTATCAAAGGTGCAGAGTTGGGTTTTGAGACGCTAGGTAGCCAGATGATCAAGTGATGTTCAAAAGAACATTTCCTGCTATATGATCTGGGCAGAAGCTAGGACATTAATAAACTCCCCATTACTCTCAGAATGACTTTTACCACACAAGGGCAAGTTCAGTTTGGAAGACATTCTGCTTGTAGTTTAAAAATTTCTTTTCAACTTAACTAAGCTCCAGTTTATATTACTTCTGCCTTTGTCTTAAAGATCAGCCAACAAAACCTATTCAAGACTATGGGAAGAAAACAAAATTTGTAATGCAACCATACTTGCAGTGTTAATAAACTCCTGCCCCAACGCTAGTTTTTCAGATTTCCCTTAATCCAAAATTTTGATTTCATCTGCCACTTTGGTTCCAATGAATGCATTCCAATTCATTTTCTCTTTTCATTTGTCTATTTGACAAGCCTAAAAGAAAATTTAACACAAGAGTTACACTAAGATAGCTTTGCATATCTCATATATTCATTATAGTTCATTTTTCCATTTCAGGTATCAAACAATACAAAAATGTTTTCCCAGCCCACAAAGCCAAAAATAAACAAAATATAGAGGCAAGCAACTTCACAAAAAAAAAAAAAGATATTGTGAAGCATGGGAGTTTACTGGCAGCTCCCCTCTGCATGGTCAACTATCATTGCATATATCAATTTGATCATGCCTAATGCTAAGACAAATTCAAAATAATGCAAACCTCAAATGTCTGCACAAGACTGACAGCCAAAGGAAGCACTAAAAGTAGTATAAACTTGTGCAAATATCAGACAAGTAGAGTTCTTGACCAGGATCCAAAAAATTTCTTCATGTGAACTCCAGGGTTTGTTCCTGACCATTGGTTTGACCTTTTCTTCTTTGAACATCAGCCCCCAACTCACAAAATGTTTTGAAATTTTCCTCTGTTGAGTACTGGTTGGCACACTGAATGTAGGAATAAACGTTTTAGAACTGAATATTAAAGCCCCTCCTCCAATATGTGGATCTTGTTGTGCTTTAAAAAAAATTGGCACTACATATATACACACACAGAGGGAATCCAAGGCACAATAGTACCTTATAGATCCACTGAATATGAGCAGCCTGAATAGGTCAGTTTCTATCAGTTTTCCCTTTAGTTTATGCACCATGACCAGGCATCAATACAAGCATAAACACTCTCTTCCAACTCCAAGCTTTGAAGGAGAGCCTCAATGAGTATTTCTGTATCACATTTCAGAATTCTGGTACTGCTTACAAGAAATTAGATCCAAGCAAGTACTGCGCACGTGTACACAAAGCTAGCCTGCACCTGATTTCAAGGACACACACACACACAGAAAGCTTCCAATAAATTTTAAAAATGAAGATGAGCATTTTCATTTCACATCTATCTTTACTTAAGTCAAAAACCCAGGGCCACTATTAACCATATTATGTTCTAATTCTGTAAGGGATGTTTGCCAATAAAGTTGAATTCAATTATTCACAAAGATTAGTTTATATACCTTTCCACAGCTGAACTTTAGCACCAGCAATTAAAATATAAAATAGCCCAAGTCAAAACTAATCTTTGTTTTGGTAAACTCTGAAGAGCTTTGATATGTTTCTTTTTGCATCATTTTTCCAAAGAACAATGCAGCCCTCTAGTGGAAAAAGATAAGATTGCTAACCATTTTGCATTCCTCTAATTAAAAGCAAGGTCCACGAGGACAACCAAATCTAAATTTTAGATAGTAGCCTTCAGTGTGCAGAAAAGCAGGATAAAATTGGCACTAACAGAAATAAAACCCAATAAAGTTAAAATTTTGTTTGTAAAATTGTACATTCTTTCTTGCTCCTATTTCTGTCCTGCTTTCCATAGAAATTATCAAACTGCCCCATAGTCCCCTATTCCAGAGGATCTCTTTGCAACAAGGATAACTGTCACAGGTGAAGACAGGAAGAATTTTTCTGCATGAACAGAGTTCCAGTATACAAGCTATACCCAAAATCTCACTGATAAAACAGTATTCAGGTTGCTATTGATCAAAAGGCATTTTACTTACAGACACATGATACATACCTACTGGCATGAAGAAAATCATTAAAATCTATTTTTACCTGGCACACTGACTCACTTCAATTGAATTATGAGCAATCGGCTCCAACTGTGGACTCAATATTCATAGCAAAGGTACAGAAGAAATTGTCAAGAAACCAACTCCAAGCAATAATCCAGAGTTTTGCTTACGTGCAAGTCAAGCCAAAGCACTGTATGTTAGGCAATATATGCTGGTACCAGTTCTCCCAAGCCATATCTCACACTTTCCTTTGATCACCAGGACTTACTTTTCAGTAACTATTTTAAGGATGTTAGTTTAAGTATACAAATACTTCACATTATACACAATTCCCAGTGCCTTCCCACATAAGGCGGCTGGAAAACCACCAAGGAGACAACCACGTGTATTCAACACACACACACTGTATGAGCTCCTTGCCATAATTTTGAACAAACATTGACCTACCTATTCCTGAATTTGCTCCCGTGATCATAACCACTTTCCCACTCATGTCACGGCCCTGGAGTATTTCCATTGCAGTGGTGTTTCCATCATACTTCTGCTTTGTGCTGGGCTTCATTGGAGCATCTTCCACTGTAAATGCCAGTCTTGGGTCAAGATATGTTGTTCTTTTGTTTATGTGGCTTAAAGAGATAAGAAAAAAAAATCAGTATCATTTTCCTCTTTCTGTCCCACTGCAAATACCGGGAAATGGTTTCAATCAAAATGTCAGTATTCTCTTTTATTCATGTCACCATACATGTCCATATTTGCTTTTGAAATTTAGACAACATCTTCCACCCCCATGAGATCCAAAAATGGTATAACTGACTTTATTTTTAAAAATTACGAAGGAATATGTATTAAGACTATTCAATTGGCTAACAAACCAATCTAAAAACAACAAAGCCAAGAACAAATATTATTTGGTTGTGAAAAGAAAGCAAGGATAGTTTCAATCAAATATCCCTTGAAAGAACTTTTCCAAGCCGGGTACCACTGAAGGTCATTTCTTCAAACTGCATTACAGATTTTTCCCACTGATGGTACTCAAACTTCAAACTATGTATGAAGGATAGTTCATACAGATAGACAGAAGGATACATGAAGTTACAAGCCACACAGGACTAAAGTGATAAATGAACTCACTGGGCAGTACCCAATTGTATGATTCCACACACTTAAATAGTGCTAGTGAAGCTCTACTGAATCCTTCAATTGCATAAATGGTTGTGCGTTGTGCTAATGCAAGTTATGGCACAATGGGCTACATAAACACAATGCACAGCCATGCAATTAATAGGTTGCACAAGCATAATATGCAATGATTACAAAACCAGGAAGGGGAAATAACTTTTCTTCTTCATGTGGGTTGCCAAGGAAAATAATCTTGGAAAGGTTGCCACCAGTCCAGATATGAGCCCTATTACTAAACATCCCTTCAGCACAGACCTAGGGAAGAAAGCAGAAACAATGTCAACAGCAAAGATGCTTTCCATGTTCCTTCCCAAAGCCTAGAAGCAGAGGAATCCTTTTAAATGTCTAATCCTGTGGTCCTTCACATGGGGGAAGGTTCAGAAAAAAATCCTTTCAAAAGATTGCAGCCAAATATCCTGTGTAAAAAGGAGTGTATGGTGGGGGGAAGGGAAGAAATAAGAGGTGGAAAAATGGAAAAGGCCACGATTACAAATCAAACCAAAGGTCCATTTGCCTTATCTACTCACTTTCCCTACTTAATACAGCCTTGGGCTGTAGAGCATATGCCAAGCGTAGGATACGATAGTCAAGAAAATGATCATTTGATGTACGTGGTTTATAGGAGAAACTGAAAATGTAAATGAAGTGGGGGATATTTTGGGGGGATATCTGCTCAGTAAAAGCCAACTTCTGAGAAGAGACTAATTGCTGATCTCTGAAATGATGCAATAGCTTTGAAGGAAGTAACTCAGTGACTGAGAAACAGAGAGGCAAACAACCAAGCCAGGGAGCCTGTCTGAAGGAATGTGGGGGGGAGATAATTGGCTTGAAAGAAAGCGTGCTACTTCCTATCTCATCCCCCCAGTAGTTTTATGAGACAGGGGGTCATAGGGCAAGGTGAAGTGAGAGCGGGGTGAGCTAGTAAACTTGTAGTTAAAAGCATGCAGGCATAATAGGTTGATGAATATTAACTCACACACATTGAATAGACAATTATAATACACATGTGATGTATGTAGATGTATGTAGTGGGATGAGATGGGAGATATGAAGTGGGCGGACAGACAGACTGCAACCTCCTAGTACCTTACCCAATGAGGGAAAGGGGGAGGCCTGTGGCGGATGGAATGAGGGGTAAAAGAGCTGTTTTGTGTGTCTGTCCTTTGGAGAGATTCTGATAGAGCGGGCTCTCGCCGTCTCCTGCAATAAATGAAGGAAACGCCTCTCTGTTGGTACTCTTGGTTATTTAACTTGAGAAGTATTTTCATAGCTTTTTTGCATAGCAGCTTCTATTTCTGATGTCAGTGGTCTAGCCAGCAAATCAGAACAACAAAAGCAAGCTCCAAAAGGAAGTCCAAGGTAGGTGGAACCAGTCAAGCTATTCAAGAAAGTGGATTAGGTTTTGTTTCCACTTGGGACAGAAAGAAAGAGAGAACCACTCAGGCTATCCAGCAGGATATTAACTGACCAGATGTTCTAGGGTATACTGTAGAAATATACCACAATTAAGGGTTTGTCATGAATGTTGTCGCATTAATTCCTTTGGCACAATAGGCTATACAAGCAGATTGTATACACAACAGTTTGCACAACTATACTTGCACAAACGTACCTTTAGCTCGACTGTACTCATGTGCATACTTCAGAACCTAGTGCCCACTAAAAACCTACATTGATCATGAGTTTTTTCCCATTATAAGAACTCTAAAAGTGCAAAATTAAGTTTCTATCAACTGAGACATGACATTTCCTGATTTCATTAAACCCATGACAAAACGATCAAACCTACAGAGACCCCGCCCATTAAAAACCAAAGGTTCCTTTCTGTATAACTCCTGTGCCTACTCATTCTCAAAGCACATGAGAATATTCTACATGTACAGCAGAATGTTCATTGTGCATTAAGGATTTTTTTCAATATACTCTTAGGGCTGACCAGTAGAACACTCTAATTTAGCTAAAGTGCAGACAAATGTTTTTTTAACAGGGTCCGATCTAAGTTCCAATAGCAAGGAGAGAAAGGAAGAAATTCCTGTTTCAAACATTGTTCTGAAATCAAATTCTGCATTCTGCACGTCTCCTGAAATGTCTTTTTACAATTGTTTAATTGCTATGAATACCTTGCTTTCTAATTACCATCTTTTCCATCTATGTCTTGACACACGTTATAGTTACATTTTGCTCATGCTTGCTTGCTGTATTTTGTCACCCTTCAAGTAGCACCACATTAACATTCTGCAGTTGTCTTGATTCCTGATTAAATCTATACAATGTAAAAAGGTTTCTGGAATAAAGGAATGCTCTTCTTTCACAGACAGAAGAGTGATTAAGGATCTCAACTTTAGGTTTCTAAGTAATACCAACTGTAGAATACTTCTCCAAAATCTTATTCACTCTGATAATGTTGTTGCTGTTAGTCACAAAGTCATGTCCAACCCATCACAACCACATGAACAACATTCCTCCTGGCCCTCCTGTCCTCCACCATCCCCCAGAGTCCACCTAAGTTCACACCGACTGCTTCAGTGACTCCATCCAGCCACCTCATCTTCTGCTGTCCCCTTCTCCTTTTGCCATCTATTGTTCCCAGCATTAGGCTCTTATCCAGGGAGTCCTTCCTTCTCATTAGGTGCCCAAAGTATTTGAGTTTCATCTTCAGTATCTGGCCTTCTAAAGAGCAGTCAGTTTTGATCTCCTCTAGGGCTGACCAGTTCGATCGCCTTGCGGTCCAAGGGACTCATGGGAGTCTCCCCCAGCACCACAATTCAAAGGCCTCAATTCTTCAGCACTCAGCCTTCCTTATGGTCCAACTCTCACAGCCATACATTGCAACTGGGAAGACCATAGTCCTGACTATATGCACTTTTGTCGGCAAGGTAATTCATTCAATGGATATATTTTTCATCTTCAGTCTATTCACCTTTCAGATGTTATGTATTTCTGCAATTAGAAGGATCTGCTGGTCCTTCCAAGCCACATCATAAGTAACACAATACACTAGCATGGTTTTCATAAATATGATTAACCTGTGCCCCACTAAAGTTTAAAAAACATTTTTGTTTAAAAATTCCAGACATCATAGGCATAAAAACCAAAGGACCATATCTTAAGAGCAAAGAAACTGGGGTTTTAAATGCAAATACACTGCAAGCAGGGCAATAATCTATAAGGTAAGGCAATTTAAAACCTACACAGAAATATAAAGGAATGGCTCCTCTGTTATTTGAATATTTCATTATTGTTCTGGTACCACAAGGGTGTGAAATTCAATGATGTCCAGTTCTCATGTTCTTCTCAACCCATAACTGAGTGAGAGAGAGAGAGAGCAAGAGGAACCCCAAATATTAAGCAATACAGTTACAACTGAAAGCCAACTCAGACATACCAGCTTGCACTCTCACCTGTGTTGGGCAAGAAAAAGAAAAGGGGCAAAGACCAGTCCCAGAATATAAGAAGCTGCTCAGAACATATTAAGAAACAATTTTAGAGGATATGGAGCTGCCTTTTATTATTTGACAGTCTTTCCCAGGGTCTTAGGAAAAGGCAGGGATTTTGGAAAAATCAAAAATAAATTCAAACGACTTTTAGATTTCTAGGAATTCAACCTACACATTTCACAGTGGCACAGCATCTTGCAAGTTGCATAAATGCCACAGACAAGCAGTTTTTTTCCTTTTACTTCCTGGAACTGTACATGAATTTAGACATACAAAAGTTCAAAAGTTGCTGAAAATATATCAATCCATTTGTCATTTTTAGACAAACACACACAATGTTTCATACATCTCTTATCGCTAGCCCCTGTTTTGTAGAATTTTTTCTGTGTTCTGCTCAATGGTTGTATATGCTGGGATAAGGAAAAAAAAAGCAAAACATTATATACAGGGAAAGTCACAAAAATTAAGATGACCCTTTAGCAAACTATTTGGGGGAGGGAGAAATCCGACTGTTAATAAGCAGATGACTGAATAAAGACACAACTTGATCTGCAAAAGACAGAACAGATGAAACAAAATGCATCCATCCCTGGTTAGAGATCTTTCTGCTTCCTGAGTCCCTTTAAATGAAAACACCAGAGATCAAGGTTGAAAATCTCTCCAAACCAATTATCTGCTCAGCACTCTCCAAGTGTTGGGATAGTTAGACTTGGAACTGACCAGTTAGTTTTGACAAGCTTATCCAACAAAGTTTAGTCTGTACAACCAATATGGCTTCTCAAAGATGATGTTAGAAGTCTTAAGTAAAGAAAAGCAACTTCTTAATGTGTTCAGGGTGCCAGTGTTAGACATAAGGTTAGTTTTAAAGTAGCACACAAATCCTTTTGCTCTCCTCAAATACAATGTAAGTGCAAGTTCTATATACAGTAAATCATACACTAAATTTAAAATATGCTGGCTGGATTTGTGGAAATGTCTTTACCTTTTAGTGCAACGACTCTACTGTCCTTTGTTTTACTATCAGGCATCTATAAATCAGTGGTCACCTCAAGAGAACTGCACATGTGTCAACTGTGTGGCAGAATTGATTCCTTCAATCATAAACAACAATTCCACTTACTCAACAAAGTAGACCTGTCCATTTTCATCTGTTTCTTGTTCCCACCCATATGGCAAATCTAGAACAAAATAAAAACCTGTTAAGTGATATTTTAAAACAAATAGTTCAAATAGTTAGCTAAATATTCTCATCACCATTTTCAGTTGAAAAACACAGTAGATAGAAGGCACAATACACTGGAAAATCTTTAAAACCCAGGACACAGCCATGTACCTGGGACACAACATGGACAAACTCTTAATGTTTTAATTTGATACATGCTTCAGATTAAGTACACCCTAAAACCAAGGGAACTTACCTCCAAGTAAACATGGATAGAATCACACTAAAAATATTAGCAACTCCTGGACAGTATCCAGCGGCCCTGTTACTTTGCTCAGCAACTACCCTCTCTACCAGTTTATCCATAAGGGCATAAACAACAGAAAATTTATATTGCAAAAGGGAGGTTAGTGGAACCAACTACTACCACCAGCTGCACCCCAAATGAAGATGGCATTTATCTGAAATGGGAAGGTCACTGCAGTGGCTATTGTCTCTAGGAATTTGTTAAGTGCTTGCAGTAACCCATCAGGCACAAATCCAAAACTCTCCTGTTAACTGTACAGCAATCATACCACCCTCTCTAAGTATCACTGAAGTACATTCAACTATTCTGGAAATAAATTTTGGCAAGCCAGCATCTCCAAGCACTTCTGGAGGCAACAGATTATGTAGATGCATTTCAATCAGGTTTTTGGTCTGGGTTTGGGACAGAGACTCCCTTGGTTGCTCCATGGGATGACCTCTACCAGGAGAGAGACAGGGGAGTGCTACCCTGTTGATTCTCCTGGATCTTTTGGTGACTTCTGATACCATCAACCATGGCATCATTCTGAAACACCTGGGCAGGTTGGGAGCATCACTTTGCAGTGGTTGCACTCCTGTTTGACTGACCAGTTCCAAATGGTTGGCACTGGAGGACTGTCACTTCACACCATGGCAATTGTGTCATGGAGTTACACAAGGATTCGATTTTGTTCCCCTTGCTTTTTAGCATCTACATGAAACCACTGGATGAGGACATCTAGAGGTGCGAGCTGAGGTGTCACAAGTATGCTCGATGACACCCAGCTTGAGTTCACCTTTTCAACTGGCCCAGGTGAGGCAGTGGCTGTCCTGGACCAGTGCCTCAACTGGTCAATGGGCTGGATGAGGAGGGCCAGTAAACTGAAGCTGAATCCAGACAAGATGGAGGCACTGGAAATGCACCCCAACTAGGAAATGTTCACCCTATCCAGGAGAACATTGCACTCTTACGCCCCAAAGGATAAGGCAAATTGCTTATGGGTGATATTGGGCCCCAAGCTTTTCTGGTCTCTTTGGCTGATCTTTCAGCTACATTCCTATTTGGATAAGCAGAACTTGCCACAGTGACCCATGCACTGGTAACCTCTCACCTGGATTACTGGAATGCACGCTACATGGGGCTATCCTTGAAAACGGTTTGGACAGTCCAACTAAAACAGAAAAGTGTGGTGCGGCTGCTTACGAGGACCAGCCTGCAAGAACACATGACATCAGTCCTGACAGCTGCATTAGCTCTCTGTTCCAGTCCGGACCCAATTCAAAGTATCGTCTTGGACATATATAGCCCCAAATGGCTTGGGACCAGGGTACCTGATGGAATACATCTTTCCATATAGTCCTACCTGCCCACTTACATCCTCCTCTGAAGTCCTGCTCCACATACCCACCCTCTCTGTGAGATAAAGATGAAGACGGCTAGCAGGGGAGCATTTTCTGCATTCACTCCTCAAGAACATACCCCTGGTATAGACTCTGCAGTTCTTTTGATGCCAGGTAAAAATGTTTTTGTTCAAACAAGCTTTTGGTTAATTTATAACTTTGTTATTATTTAATGTTGGCAGTTAATTTATTGATTCTATTAAATAAATTTTGTGAATGGAACACAGGAAAACAATTAGCAATAAGCATTGCCTTCTACTTTAAAAGCAGCCTCCCAGTTTTCTGGGTAAATGTTCCAGGTTAAATAAAGTAGAAGATCAGCATTTACGTTTCCTTATGACATTAATATTCAATCAATCTATTCCCAGCATTTAAGAAAATTATTTATGTATTTATTTACACATCCATGTATTTATAGGCAGCCTATAATTCCCTAAAATTATCTGCATTCATGTTTGGGAAAAAGGTCAACAAACTGATACCTTTGCATTAATTATACTACTGTTCTTGGAAGCACATGAAATTATTAGTAAACACCTATAAATACAAATTTTCATTATTATTCCATGTATTTTACTTAGAAAATCCACATACAGATCAAGTGATAGGCGTATTTATTAGCTTACTAGAATCAGCCTACAAAAGCTGGACACAAACCTCCTGCAACTCGCTTTCGTTTCCCAGATTTAGGATGGTCCCATTGAGTTCTCTCTTCCAGATGACTAAAAGAAAAGAATTTAAACACATCTCAAAGAATGTTTTTTCACAAATGCAATGAAATATCAATGCTGTTATTAATATGTGGTTAATATTAAATGTTCTGGTCAAACTTCCCGTTACATAATTTTTAGAACATTACAGTATATGTCTTTTCCCAGTGTTTTTAGCTGCTTTTGTGTAACAATAATCTATAAAACACTTAAGTGAGAGAGCACAGGTCTCTTTAAAATCATATAGCCTGAAGAAAGAAAACCCTTCCAGATTATTATTAAGAAATAAAATTAGTTGGCTCCAAGATTTGTTTAGAAGAAAGTGATCTACAAAGGAAAATGTATCAGAAATAGAAGCAAAATGAGGAATGATCCTAAACTAAACTAAAATGGCCAGGTTAGGCAAAATTCAAGTGCCTGGAGCCCGGCTTGCAACCTGCAGAATCCATTGTGGGCCACACAGCTACACTACTGAAACTGCCACCAATTTGGCTGCAGCAAAAAGAAAAGGGTCCCTTTTCACCTTTAAACAAGATGGGTGGAAGCATTCACCTACAGTATAATTGTACTCCCAGAACCTTCCTGAGTGTGTGAATTTGCATTAAAACAATACAGCAAGAGTCAGAGAAAACAAGAGGATAGAACTGTAAACCACATAACCTCCACTGCTTCTAGAAATATCATGTAAAGCTCCCCTTCCCAGAATACCTCAATTTATAGAACAAGGCATAGTTTAAAAATTTTGTTCAAAGGAGGTGAACTGTCAAATTCTGCAACATTTACTGAGGACAGTATAATCAACCCAAACATTTATTAGTTCTACAACTTCACTTTTTGTTTTTGTTTTTAAAGCACATACTATCTACAGGAAGGGGTTTTTTTAAACAATGTCAAAACAAATACAAATGTGCAAAGGGCTCGAGAAAATTTCTTCAAAGTAGAAAGATTCAACTGATCCATCTGATAAGGTTTTCTAGACATTCTTATTTGTGTGGAGTCACGTGCAAAAGCATGGCTACACAAGCTGTTCAGGATTTACAAAACTGGAACCAGGCTGCTACTTCTGGCCCTTCTGGGGAAAGAGGGAGAACAGAAAAATTAGACGCCCAAATATTTCAGATTTCAACTTCAAACATTCTCAAGCTTCGATAGCTAAAGTCCCAAACTTCTTGAGGTGCACCTTCTGCCTACCCCTGGCCTACAGTCCTGTTTTAAAATAGGTTCCAAAAAGTTCCTATTCTACTAGTTAACAACTTTTCAAACTAGTTGAAAGTATGGATCCCACTGGTTCAGAGACAAGCATAACTCGCAGTTTATAAATGAAATACTCAATGCACTCATTCTGTTTCAACATTATTCTCTTTGGACTTGCATTTCTCAAACAGCAGCCCTCAATATCATACAGCAAAACACTTTAGAAAGTGAGGTGTTTCAAAGGTAATTACCAACATGGCACTAGGGCATGCTATTCAAAGAAAAGAACTAAACAATCCCACTGGGCACATCCAAGCACTTCAGGACACAGTCCAATGGGTCACGCCCTCCATGCTCACAATCCTCTGAACTCAGGATTACAAGCATCCTTCACAGAGCAGAGAAATGGGAAAAGCAATCCCGGTTTCCTCACACCTTGCATTCAACAAGTCCATTCAACAGCCAGTTTTGGCCATCTAGCTGTAGTGTTTTGCACAAGGAGAGGAAGGACCCCTTTAAGCTACCTTGCAACCTTAGGTGTGGTTTTTTTCCCCACACCAAATCCAATCCTGCATCTAGAAAGTCAAAGAATCCTACAGCCTCCCCAGACACTGTTTAAGGGACATAGGCTCACTTTGTCAATGTGAATGAACTGGCTTTTCATAGCATATTTAATATGTTTTTCTTCAAATGTTAATCATTTTGGTTTTAATTTCTTGTAAAACTCCTGGGAGCATTTTGGAATTGGCAATATATAAAAATTAAAATAAATAAATAAATAAAACATACTGAGGCCCAACAGATCTGTCTGTGATGTTGTCTGCAAGTTCTTCTTGGCAAGACCATCCAGTAATTATAGCTTTATTGTGTTTCATCCACACTCCTGTATTGGAGCGCACAGATGAATTGGGTATAAGTACCCCCCTGCAACCTGATTAGTTTCAATGGAGCAGAAACAGAAACCCCCCAATACAGAATACTATGAGAACTAACCCTATAACTAATGAATTATATGAAGTTACTTGCATAGGTACAACTGGATAAATTTACTTTCCCCCTGCCATACAAATGCCAGACTATATTCTGCTTCTGTTTCCAAAGTTCAGATCACCACTACCAAAGTGGAGAGTACTTAACTGTACTTTACTGCTTTCCAGGAATTATAATATCTAGTGAAATTATGCATGTACTTCTGGTGTATTTTTGTATAAGCCCAACACAGTTGAGCTGTTCACAAAATAACTGAAAGCAGTATAAAACTCTGAACATTTTTTCTTTTAGGCACCATCTGAAAACCTTTTTATTTTCCCATTATTTTAATTGTTAATTGGCCTTGTGTTTTTTTATATTTATCACTGGATGCTGTACCATTGTATCTTATTTTATTTGTTCTTGTTGTAAACCATCCCGAGACACCAGTAAAAGCTTTAAATAAATAAACAGCAGCAATTGCAACAAAATGAAAGTGGTGTGGCAAACCACCAGAACCACCCACAATGCATCTCTCAGTTAACTTCAGTCAAAGCAGATGCAACACAAATACAGAGTCCCTCAAGCGGATTAATTCCTGAAAAATAGCAAAAGAGACAGAAGACACTGCTTTACCTCAACAGGGAAGTCAATAATAGAATAGCACCTTCATTAAATAACAAACTTACTTTTATATTTATCAGACCAGATGACTTTCAATGATCAGTTAAATCTGCTGATAAACCCAAAAGATGGCTCATTTTAATTGAAGCAGACCTAAACTTCACCTAAATTAGTCAGCCAGCTTCCTGTCAAAACTCTTCATGTGCCCAACCTAACTCTAATGCTTTGTGTGACTGAGAACTTGTTCAAATATTTGTGAGTAGCTATGAGCCTGTACAGTTGATGAAATAAACTACAGAGCACAAAACGTGATTGCACAAGTCAGTCTTTAAGCTGCCAGAAAATGCTCCATAGCCTTTCTGCAATAAAACAACACAGTTATTCCTGCAGAATACAACACAGTTAATGCACTGCTTTTAGGACTGTCTTCTAAGGAAGAGGATTCCATCTCATAAAAAACCAATTCCTCAACAGAATACTTGCTTAGAGACACTTTTCCTTATACCAAGCCATGCTTATGTTTTTAACTACTTAGCTCAGGGGTCTCAAACTCAACTTACCTGGGAGCCGCTGGAAGGAGAGTCTGGGTGAGGCTGGGACGCATCAAGTACTCCACCCCTGCCCATCGGCCCATGGGCCGCGAGTTGGAGACCCCTGACTTAGCCATAAAAAACCAATTCCTCAACAGAATACTTGCTTAGAGACACTTTTCCTTATACCAAGCCATGCTTATGTTTTTAACTACTTAGCTCAGGGGTCTCAAACTCAACTTACCTGGGAGCCGCTGGAAGGAGAGTCTGGGTGAGGCTGGGACGCATCAAGTACTCCACCCCTGCCCATCGGCCCATGGGCCGCGAGTTGGAGACCCCTGACTTAGCCAATTGTTTTCTATATCTTATCCCAACCAATATTCTCCAGATGTTTTGAACCATGGCCATGATGGCTGGGGTTGATGGGATATGAAGGCACCAAACTGGGCAAGACTGAACAAGACCAGCTTGCAACACAAGTCTCACCCACTCCTACCTTGGAGATACCAGGAACTGAAGCTGGGCCTTTGGATGCAATGCCCAAGTTCTGGCCCTGTGCTGCATCCTGGGGGGCTCCCAACTCGGTGTGTGCTCGCTCTCATGGTACAAGCGCACCTGTGCATAGGGCTGGGATGCAGATCTGTTCCAGCTGCCGGGGCACTTTTTGACGTTTCAGTTTGTTCCACGTTTTAAAAAGTTGTTTCAGGCTACTGTTGCTTTAAGCAGCGACCAGGTGATCGGGCGCATCTTCTCAGGTGCAGCACGAGGGAGCCGCTTGCACTGCGCTCGCGTCCCACCCACGGGGGCCTGGGTGGCCCACCCACCGAGCCACCTCACGCTCCAGAAAGCGCAACTGGAGGCGGTGGCGAGAGGGGGGAGTTGTGTAGGTGCCCCCGCAGAACCCCCCCCCCAGGAGGGATAACTTTGCGGAGCCCCCTCGTCAGTGAACCGCGGGAGCAACTTTCTGCACGCCACACTAGCGCCCCTCCGGCCCCCAAAGGCACGAGGGGGCTCCCTGTGCCCCCCAACTGCCTCCCAGAAAGCCCCTCAACCTCCAGCATCGAACGGGCACGGCTCGGCTCTCCTACCCCAGCCGCCCGCCCGCGGTCGTGGACTTACTTGGCGTAGTAGACCCAGCCGTCCTTCGTGGTTCTCTCCTCCCAGCCGGGCGGCAGCTCCTCCTCGCTGTCGGTGTCGTCCAGCCCCGCGTACTTGAGCGCCGCCATACCGGCCGGTCCGCGCCGGCCCCGCACAGACGCCGCGCTCAGCCCCTCGCCTCCCCGGCAGAGACGTAGCCTCTCTTCCCGCAGTTCGGGGAGCCCGCCCTTTCCGGCACCCCTCAGCCAATCACAGGGCAGCGAGAGCCGAGTGCGCGCCGGGAAATGTAGTCGCGGGGGAGGGAGAGGCACGTGGGGATGCCCCCGCCGGCTGCAGGAGTCTTGCCCTTCTGCTGCGCGCGGCTGTTGGAAAACGAGCAAACTAAGCGGGCAGCGGAGGCGAGAGCGCCACTTGTCAAGGGGGATTCTCCAGGCCGGGCGGCGGTAGCAAAGGCTCGAGAAGAAGGCCGTGCCCCCCACCTCTTCGGGGCGCCGGGATGCTTGGACTCCGGAAGCGGCGTTCCCCAGCCTGGCGCTTTCCGAATGTTTTGTAGGACGACAGCCGAATTTCCCTTGCTGATGGGAGCTGGCGGGCACCAGGCTGGGGAAGGGTGCAAGAGCCGTTAGTAGTACTAGCAGTTTAGTTTATTACTGTTCATATAATTAAAGGAGAAACTCTGTGACATTACTAGTCGCCAGTTCTGCTGTGCTTTCTGCTCCTGCGCCAATTCTGTGACTATGTCTGCAGGCATGGAAACATTTACATGGGACATATCCGACTTAATCTGACTCCTCCCAAGCAAAATCAGCGCCCATTTAAGGCGCACGTGTGCCCAGCGTGTTGCTTTTTTTTTTTTTTTAATTGAAGGTTTGAGGAAGGAAGTTGTAGAAGAAGGAGGAGGTAGAGTTTTAATTTAGTGGGAGGTAAAAAAAAATGGATAGACAAAATTCGTTGTGGATTGAGGGAAGAGGAAAAGTGGAGTGTTTGTAGCAGGAAACATAAGAAGGACTTGAGAGTTGGGAAGGTACAAGCAAGCATTTGATTGAGAATGGGCATTGGTTTGGAATTGGTTGGTAACAGGTGGTTACTGTTGAAGAGTTGGGGAATGTTTTGTTTTGTTTTGGGTTTTTTGGTCAGGTATGGGGTCTTTTACAGAGTGACCGGAGAGATGATGGTAAGGAGTAGATCTGGGTGTCACCAGCATAGTGATAACATCCAGTGCCACTTTTCTGGATGATCTCTCCCAGCAGCTTCATGTAGATGTTAAACAGCACTGGGGACAAAATGGAGCCCCGTGAGACTCCACAAGTCAGCTCCTTAGAAGAGCAACAGTTCCAAGCATCACCCTTTGTAACCAACCTGGGAGGAAGGAATGGAACCACTACAAAGCAGTATGTCGAGTTCCCAACTCCCTCAGGTGATCCAGAAGAACACTAGTAGAGAATATTGAAAGTTGCTGAGACATCCAGCAGAACCATGTCAGAATCCCGGAATCTCAATTTGAGAAGAGGGAATAAAACTCGGGTTCGTGGGAAAGACCAAGCGTCCAGACCATCTGAGGCTTTATTGTATTTACCCCAAGGTTGCTGCGGTACTCTCAAGATAATGCAGGCTGCATTTCTGGGCAGGCAGAGCTGAACTCTGCTGCAAAGCTTCAACACCATTGCAGGGCATTTATAGGCACACAGGTACAGGGCAATCGATGACAGAATGCAGAGATTACAATAAGATTCTTAGGTCACCACATACAGAACAGATAAAGAAATGTCAGTCAATCGCACTGTAACAATGAGATTACAATATTTCTAATTGCCTGTATTGACACTTTAGTTGAGTAACTTGAACCCATCTCCAGGTCTGCTCAGACATGCAAATTCAAGCTACTAGAAACTATTCATGATAAGCTCAGACCCCCCTCTCGACTCTAAACATTCTGCATGATCAGGGCACATGAAGCCCTCTGGGCTATCAAAAGATTATTGTAAACTGAATTCCAACAATGACTATTTACAATGTATATTTGGGCTAAAATGGCCTGTCTACTGTAGCCTACAGATAAAGGTGAGAGAAAGGAGCGGGTGGGGTGGGGGGGGGAAGCCATTTTAAACAGTGACAGCTTGGTTTTGAGAAGAAAGACAGGATTTGATCCCACAATGCAAAGGCACACAGGAGTAATGCTTTTCAGACAGGATTTATCCAAATTTTCCCAACAATCAACAGGGACAGACTTCTCCATCAATTCTGAGTTGTGGATCATCCATTAGAGTGACAAAAGCAGTCTCAACTCTTAAGCCACTTTGAAACATCCAGAAAATCAGTAAATTAGGACCATCTTACAAAGAAATGGCATGCTTGAGCCAGGTCTAAAATTGTTAGGACCCAGGGTGTTCAAAGCAGGGTTCTTGAGGTGGGGCTGTACCATAGCAGCATCAGGTTTTATAGCATAACTCAATCATTCAGTCTTTAGGTGGTCACAGACCTGACAAAACTGATAAACCTGATAAACTTTCCAAGTGCAGTGTGTGTTTGTGTGAATGTAAAACCAGGGCTGATCTCTCTGGCCATGCATGTTAAACCCCAGCAAAAGATCCCAAAACTTTTGAGGTAATTTGGAGGGCAAGTGCCTCCTGAAGTGTATTCCCCCTTATAACCTGGCATAACCTGTCAAGGTGAGATATGTATTCTCTTACCTGTGATGTTTCCTGGAGAATATAAACACTGAAATACAAAGAAGCATTCCTGTATGGGCTCTGGAAATGTGAATTACCAGTAAAAACTTTGAACAGCTCCTGTGCTATGTGGCTGACAAGCTAGCGATAATATATGGTTCAGAGCTTTGGCTACAAACCCATTTTTGGAAACAAAAGACAGTTCTTCTGACCTCCAGGTTTGTTTGTTAGTCTACAGACGGTTGAATGGAAAGAACATACATTTGCATAACTCTGGATATTTTTATTATTTATATGAAACAGCAAATTGATATGGGCATTAATAAATTTGGGGTTCTTTTTGAGAATATTGTATTTTGGAAAAATAGGATTTGATACTTGGTGACTCTGGGTGCATAGGTTCTATTTGTAATTATAATGTTATATAATACAATAATTCAGTATTTGTTCATTGACCAACAAATAAAACACAAAATTACAATTTAATAAATTAAGGAAATTTACAATTAAATTAAATAAAAAGGAAAATACAATGTCTAAAATTACAGTTAATTAAGATAGGAAAAATACAATTACTTAATAAAAGCCTTACAACATTTAAAGTTACTTCTACAGCAGACTATTCAGACTATTGAACAGTGCTTGGCTGTGGTCAAAGAGAAAATCAGATTGATCCAATAAAAGCGGCTTAAGGTAAAAAGCATCAGAATGACCAGGATATTTAGAAAAGGGTGGGAATAGCAATTCCTGGTGGGCACCTGCATAGAGAGGGAAATAAGGAATAACATGTTCAGCAATTCATTTATTTCTCCCCCACATGGACACAGTCTCAGTTCGAAGGAGGTCTTTTGATATCTCCCTTTGGTAACAGCTGTTGGGAGCACATTGAATCTAGCTAAAGATAAAGCCCTCCTGATTTTCAGGATTGTTATGTGACTGAGATACCTGGCTGGTTGGAGAAGATGTGCAGAACAGTTCAGGAGGGTGTTTCTGGGTAGAACTGGATAATCTGCTTGTACCTCTAAATTAATGGCCCACAGTTTAAGTTCTACTAATGCCTGTTAATAGCCTACTGAGTTGATAGGTGGCCATGAAAAACCATGAGATTGCAATTTGGATTGACTGGCTCCAGGAGGTCTGAAAGCTATCAGTCATAATTAGAGAGACCAAGCCACCTGGAATAAAGATGAGCTTGAGCCAGTAAGAAAATACGTAAATCTAGGCCAAAGTTTCAATTTTAAGAAGGCCAACTTTGCGTCAAAGGACTGTATTCGAGACTCAGCAAGTTCCTTGAAAAATAGTTCTCAAGAACTTGGACTGAACTCTTTCCAAAAGAAGAAAAGATTTGTAGTGTCCCAAATGAGCTCCAAACAGGAGCTGGGCCCAAAGATGTTCTGTAATGTGTGTAATGCTTTGTCTGTTTGTATACTTATAATAATAAAAAATGAATTGCTGAGTTGGCAAGGGTCCGTTTATTGCATGACTGTCCCACCAGCCACTGAAGCTGCTGGGAAAACCTTGCACAGTAAGTGCAAAGGCTAAATATGGCGCCAGGTGGCGCAGTTGACAATATAATGAACAATTCATCATGGCTAATGTTTCAGTTTATTTGAAAGTGAAAGGCTCTGGGTCTGTACTTCCTAACTCTTGCTTCTGGGTGCTAGGATTCCCATGGAAAATTATTTATGGTACCACTCACATAGTTCTCCCTGTGTAGGTAAAGGCTGCCTTAACGCACACCTTCCCTTCTGTAAGTGGAGGGGCTTATTTCTCTGTCTATGGGAATTCAGTTTAAAATAATTCCTTTATCTGCACTAGAATCTTTGTTGTCTTAGAAAGGGTGTGCCTAGAACTCCCCCTTGCCTGGTTTGTGACTGGAGAAAACCCCCATATATGTGGAGGGGGCTTTGGTTTAACCCCCCTCCACAACCCCCCTTTAGTTTAACAATCACAGGGTTGTTGTGTGGATAAAATGGAGAAGAGCAGTATTGTGTGTGACTAACATTTGTGCAAGTGCAAACCGTGTCTAGCAGAGTCGGTAGTGGCCTGTCACGAGTCCATCAGACACTTTACCCAGCCAACTGCAATCATACACTCATAGACACTAGAAAAGAGTGCAGATGGATCATGGAGTAATTTTCTGGAGTGTCAAAAATGAACTATAGCAGAATGACCAAACTCATTTTTACATATGGTCTTTTTCAGTAGTCTAGCATTTTTAAAGGAATAAGATATAAGGTACAGAGACTTACATGTATTTTCAAGCCAAGCTTCATTATGGCCTGTTCTAAAATATTGTGATATCTCTATCAATTCAGGCCCCTTAAAAGATCTGCACTTGAGCCCCATCTATGTATGCAAATTTAGAATTAGGAAGTTTTATTGACATGTCACAGGAGGTAAAGCCAGCCAATTAATTGCTCATCCAAGTAATTTCAAAAGAAATTGTTCAGTTAATTTGTACCCAAATCATCCCACAGCACTGGAAAAGTCTCTCCCCACTTTAACTCTCATT